CCAAGCCATAAATAAATACTTGTCTATATGCATTAACTATGCATGTGTTTCTGTTTGTGTTTGTGTGTGTGCGCGCGACAAACAAACAAAAAGCTTTGACATTTTGCGCGGCCGCGAGTTAAAAGCTTTGCCGCAAAAGCTTGCGCACCGCTTGCAAGTTTACATTTAGTTGTTTCATCTTTTGAAAGCTTTTTTCCACTTAATTATGCAACACGCCATCAAACATTTCATTCATTGTGCACTCGCACACACACACACACACACACACGCACGAACACGCACAGACGGGCGTATGCGTGTTGGCGCTTTGCTGTTAAAAGTTTTCAATTTGGCAGCTAGCGTGGGAAAAACTAACGGATTTAGTCAGTTGTAAACGGTCACACATTGTGCTAATATGTTAATGATATACATTTGCATTTAGCTTTGTGGCTCATGCTAATTATTTTGTAATTATTTTCAAATTTGCCATTTTAATTTGCCGGCGCTGTGCATATGTTTCCTCTTCTTTTTTTTTTTATAATTATCCATTATTGATTTATTATGTGTGTGTGTGTTTTTTTTTAAATTTTGTTTTTCTCATTCGCATTGTGGCGTTGCCTACTTTTGGGCGTGCCTCAAGCCTAACAGCAGTTGCCGCAGACTTAATACCCTTACGCGCATACTCATTTATTCAAAATCTCATTGGATAATAAAAAGCATATACCCTTCTAGAGAGTATTATGATTTTGTCATGAGATATGCAACGCATAGATGCAGATGTTGCGAATGCCCTTAAGTATATAACTTCTTGATCAGTATCGGGAGACGTGTTGATATTGCCACGTCTGTCTGTCTCGTGATGGTTGTAGCTTAATATAATATGTATAAGCTAGTCTCTCAGTTTTGGGGATATCCTGACGATATATTAGCCGTATCAGACTTCTGCATCTTATGAAAACAATCGAGCAAAGTTTATCGTTTTAGTTTCTTGAGATATTTTGCTCGAGCTTGGCATCTACGAGTTTCTCTGTCTGCGATATCATATAGCCACTTCTTAGTCATATATCTGCAAGGGTATTTCATCTTCGGCTCGTCGTAAATAGCCATACTTTTCTGTTTATGCTATATGCATTTTGTTCAACTTCTTTGGAATGCCAGGTCTGCTTTCACGATTAGTCTATTTATCTAGATATAAGAGTGATCCGATACCAAGAACCTACTTTTTACCGAACGTACCTTTGTGCAGCTATATGATATAGTACTCCGATCCAGCTGGTTCCGACATATGTACTGTCCGTAACAGAAAGATGGAGCTATGCAGAGTTTTAAGATGATAGCTTTAAAACTGAGAGAATAGTTTGGACGGACAGACAGACAGGCTTTCTAGCCTATATCATATCGGTTGTTGATGCGGATCTGATATGTATATACTATCTGGGTTTGGTGATGACTCCTTCTTGACAAGGGTAGAACACCAAAAATCCTGAAAGCCCCTCTGTAAGCCCACCCTTACCACCAAACTTTAATCAAAACTATCCTTACTCATATTATTATATGTATTCAACTAAGTCTTAGTTATTTAGTTATTTGGTATTAACAATTTGAGTATACTTATACACTAACATATCCATATATGTATCTATTATATATCTAGCTATATTTAAATGTAATATTATGGCGTTTATTTAATTGCCGATGCCGAGTTATGCTTAGAATTATGTTTGTATACTAGCCCCACCCTCATATATACTAACTAACTATTTAATTAACTAACTGTACTAATCACAATTCGCATCAATAATTCCTCCTTCAGGGCGTTCTTCTAATGCCTCGCACATTGTCCGAAAGCCGAAAGTTGCGACTTAGAAGGGCCTTCACAGAGGCCACTAACGAAACGCTACAATGCTCCAAAATGGTATTTAATTCTAATTTCTTACAAATCCCCTCCCAAAAAACAAAAAAAAATAAATAAATAAAAAACAACCAAAAAAACTAAAGAAATTTGATGGCAATTAAAAACAAACCCAACTTCGATAAGCATTTTGACGTTGAATTTTTATGTATTGTGTATATACAAAATACCAACAACTATAGCAAATAATACCAAAAACAGTACTAAAATACTAAATTACTAAATTTGAAACAGTTTTGTAGTTAAAACTTGATTGCGATTACATTTAATGGCACCATTTTTAGTACCAAAAAAAAAAAAAAAAAAAACAAAAAAAATTCGAATACATTTGCAAATTGGATGCGTCGTTTCCTTTTTTGTTGCTGTTCGTTTGTTTTGAGTACTCATAGTCGTACTCATATTCGTACTCATAGTATTCGTGCGCATCCTGTGCTCGCTTGAGCCTCGTTGAATTGAAAAAAACCTAAATTCAATGGTTCATTGAATGCCGCTTGTAGCTGATTCTGATTATGCTGATTATATTCATTCATTCACATTCACATTCTCATTCATTCACGGAATTTGCATTCATATGCTGTTTAGCTCGTTATTGCTTTTAGATATATATATATATTATAAATATACATACAGCATTAGTAATGTTCGAGTATTATTTAAGAGATCTTCAAGGTAAGCGTAGATTTGTTCCTGTTTGCCTGCCGTTGCCCCTGCACACGTTTGTTGCATATGCATATCTTATGCACCAATTTATTGCCTGAACAAAAATGTTAACTATTGATTTTAGCAAAAAAAAAAATATATATATATATACATAACACATATTATTTGTTTATTGCAGTCGTATAAAATACTGAATTTTCTACTTAAGCAACTTCGGGAATTAGCTAAAAACTGGAATAATCTTTTCTTTTTTTTCCAATATCAATACAATTTTTGAGCAACTGAACTAGTATTTATATTATGGTGTGACCAAGCGTGTTTGCGATTCGGCTTGCCGAAAATAATTGCCCTTTCTTGAGCAAAATATGACTGTCAATTCTAAGAACAAGGAATTTTCTTATATATGTATTTTGTTTGAGAATCCAATCCCAAGATCCAAGTGTGTGGAATAAACATAATATAAATAAATTGATTAACATCTAATCAATGAATAAAACATTAAATATATTAAATGTTTTTAATTAATTAAAATTTTAATTAATTATTACGATATAAAATATCTACTAACTTTGTACAACAACAATTCTATACTTCTATACATAGGGATATAATGTGTTGAATTTGAACCAGCATCCTGCTGTTCGTTAGCGCTTTTATAGCTGCGATTTGATTTATGTTCTCCATAAAGAAAGCTTGAGTACAAATTGAGCCCGGCATGGCGCCCAGTCTGACAGTTAGTCAATCGGTTCAAACTACTTTATATATAGGGATAAATTTGAACCAGCGACCTGCCGCTTGTTATCACGTTTAACGCTGCGTTATTATTGATGTTCTCTATGAAAACATTGAACAACGTTTGCAATCAAATAAAAAGCAAGCAAATTGGGCACAGTCGGTCAGTTGGGAAAAACTCGTATATACATGGGCACATTATGTGTTGAAGTTGAAGCTGGGTTATTATTGTAGTTCCTCACGAAGGAAGCCTGAGTACACTTTGATACCAATCTGTCTGTCTGTATCGGGGCAAAATCTCATATATGCGAATCTACTGCATTCAATTTGAACCAGCGACCTGCCTTTTGTAGCAACGATATTATTGATGTTTTCCATAAATGAAGCTTAATTACAAATTGTGCCCCGCATGCTACACCGTCTGTCAGTTCGTCTCTCAGTCTGGACAAACACTAATATACATAGGGATATCTACTGCGTAAAGAAGACCCAGAATAATATCTAGGCAAGGTGAAACATATTGTAAATTTTGCTACCAGAAACTGTTGCAATTGCAGCACATAAATTGTTTGCATTCAATTTGAAAACCCAAACTAAATACTCAAAATGTTGTACTCGAAATCTTTGGGTATTTTGTTGTAGTTGTTGTCTTCTTTATTGTTTACTTAGTTTTTATTTTGTGCCATAAAAAGTGCTTTCAATTCGTTTGAACACAAGTTTTGGGTCTTATACAAGCTGACATTTTTAGGTTTTGTCGTAAACTTTCCATAATAAATGTTTGCGGTCAAATTAAGTTGTGTGTCTCTTAATATACAAAAAAGAATAGAAAAAAAAAACTATTTCTAAATTTCTGGAATTTATAGCCCTAAAATTTGGCTAAAAGCGTTTTGTAAAACAAATTTTGGCCTCTCGCCAATAATTGTTGAATAAGCTTATTTTTTTTTGTTTTTGTATTTTCTGCTTTTTTTTTTTTGGTGCATGTACAGAGGTACTCGTAATTTTTATTGGGAATAATGCCATGTGGGACAAGGTTTTTTTTTTTGAAATTCTTGGACGAGCGGTCGGGGCGGGCAAAGGGGTAAATGCTGTGAGTCATGGCTGCATCGGCACAGGGCATCTTCAAGTTCATACAAACCTGTCAGCAGACAAATGGCCATTAGGATTTTGGCCCGGGTCCACTGCCAGTCAGACCCATAGCTAAAAAGAGAGCATCATACTGCTGTGAGTCTGCGTTAAAGTTGGGGGAAGGCTGTCGGCGAGAGCAAGCGCAGGCAGGAAGCGTTTCATGACGTAGGCAGCCGATTCTTATGCCCGTTCGCAATGTGAAAAGGGTATATAGGTTTTGTACAACTCAGGAGCCACGCCCACTGGAGGCGTGCCAACCAAGAGCATCGATAGTTTGCCCAAGTCTGTTATAGTCTCTTCTTCAGATTAATTATGCAAATATATGTGGGCAAAATAGGTATTTCTTTCTATTTGGCACTGTTCTGCCTGATGACTGATTGATTGACTGATTGACGTCAAGCGGGGAGATCTGCAAAGCTAACACTTTAACTACAGTGAAAATCTCTAGTTTTTCCGCGTTTCAGTCAGACTGAAGTTCGCTTCTTCAAATCAATTCATAACATATATATCGCAAAAATCAATATTTTTTATGTTTAAAATTGTCTTCTGATTTTTTGATTGACTGACTGATTGATAGAAGTCAAATCGAAAGAGCTGGTACAACGGGTTTCCACCCGCAGGTGCGGAAAAAACGTGACAATCGATTGTGTGCAACTTTTTTGCTTACCATCCAATCGGCCTCAAGTTAATTTGATTCTGGTGTGAATGTCATTCAAAAGGTGTTCCACATTTGTTTAACCTAATAGGTTTTTCATGTGTTTCGCTTTTGGAAATTCCACCTGACACTGTGGAAATGAGTGGAAAAGTTGTATACCAACTTTTTGATGCCTCATTCGAACTGGATTGTCTAGATATATCTATATTATGTATTGACTGTGAACGGGCATTACGCAGTCGGTTCCATTCGACTGCAAAGTGCCCTGTTTCTATCCGTTGTTGACGGGGGGGCGGGGCAGTGGGCGGTTTAGCGTTCAATGCGGATGTCTCTCTCAGCGGTCGCGACGCCAGCTGTTTCCATTCAATTGCCAGCAAATCAGCAATCGGCGGCAATCGGTAATCGGTTATCGGGAATGGGCTAATCCACAATCGCGATCCGCGACGCGTGCTGACAAAAACGTTTCTTTTGCGGCAAAATTAGACGGAAAATTGGAAAGCACACACGAAAAAAAAAAAACAAAAAAAAAAAAAACAGAGAAAAAGAAGAAAATAATTATAAATAAAACAATATTCGGCTGGGCAAGAGCATTGAGCGCGACCGACGGGCACAGGTCGTAGCCAGCCACACAGATGGCCAGAAAGTCAAAGAAACGTATTTGAGCCAAATTGAAAGGCCGTTGTTGCTGTTGTTGTTGTTTTGGTCATGTTTTGTTTACATTTTGGACAATTACGCAGCCGAATGTCGGCAAAATCGAATTGAAAATTTACGAAAATCAACAGCCGATTCGTTCGGGCAAATCAAAAACAAATCAACATTCAAACTGTGTGGAAACGGTTCGAGCAAAAATCCAAAACGAAACCGTATAGAAAAATAAAAATAGGAAAACAGAAAAATGCATTTGCCACAAGCAATTAAGTGAAAATGAAAAGTGTTAGCGAAAATTGCCACTGAAAGCGAACAAAAATCATCGGAGCAAACCAATATACCAATACATACATATATATTTTTTTATACTATTTTTTTGTTGTTATTGTTAATCGAGTTGACAGTTGCTGCGCGTTGTGCCGTGTGGCATGTCGCCTGCCTCTTGCATGGAGAACCAATGCAAGGGCAGCCTCTACAAGAAGTGCCCGTGTCCTGGCCCGGTGCAGCCAGCTGCCGTTGCCGTGGACACGCTCCCAGGCACGTGCCCAGCCGTGAACATTGCAATGCCAACGTCAGCGCAGCTGCCGCCAGTTATGATGACGCGCACCGCCAGCGTTGGCGGCGGTGGTGGCGGTGGCAGCGGCTTTGCTGGTGGCGCCGCAAATGCGTCACGCCGCACCTCCCTCTGGCTGGAGACGCTGCGTCAGACCCGCAAGCTTTCCTATGCCAACGAGCGCCCAGTGCTGGTAAGTTCGTGGCCAACTCCCCCAAACAGATTCAATGCCAATTGCCAGAAACTTAACCCCCTAACATACACACTCACACTGACGCCCACACACACACACACACACACACACACACAGAGCTAACAATAACTGTAACTCTGACGCATGTACACGTATGACATATATGCCAGCAGGTTTCAGGTCCATTTCCATCAAGCACATTGGCTGCCCATTGGTCCAACTATAAAAATAAATAACGCATCGCTTCTCAACTCAAACTGGGGCTCTATCAAGTTATTTTCATCCAAAGCATCTGCAGACGCAAACACAACACACACATGCTCGAGCACACGCACACACACACGCACACACACACACGCACACATTCGCGCACACGCTCACGCACACAGGAAATCAAAACAACCATAAAAAATTGTTTACTTTGAATAGGCATAGCGACGTTTGCATGCCCTTACTTTTCAATAGAAAGATAGAAAGACAATTTTTTGAATATGAATATTCAAATTAAGATTTTTTTTTAAATATTTAAGATTTGGAGTATTCTAAATTAAAGCTCAAAAAAGCTTCAATCTGATTTGAGCAATCAAATAACTATTGAAACTACAAATTTTCGATTTATTTTGAATACTTCAATAAATATTTAGCTTAGATATTTAAAATTTGTAGCATTTCATTTAAGCTTTAAAGGTTTCGACCTTCTTATTTAATGTGTATATGCTTATCAATATAGATTTCCTATGTAGATATTCCGAAAATCAATAATTTTGCTTTCGATAACTTTCGCCATTTTTTCTTATCAAAACGATTAACATAAAGGTGCCGCTTTGATTTTTCAAACGTTTCGTAAGGTTCCACTCGCAATTGTGGAAAAATAGCGGAAAATCATTTTCTACAACTTGTGTTGTTATGTTTTTCATCTAATAGGACAGAGACACATTTACTAAGCATTCTTGTGAAAGTTCATTTGAAAAGTGTTGCACTTCATTCGGAGAATCCCATTGTTCTTGGTCAAAACGGGAGGACCAGATTTTTCCTGGAAATCGTACTTGAGCTGTGTTTCACACTTTTTGTCAATTGCAGGCTACCTTAATGCGAATTGTACAATTAGCATGCTGGTATATTAAATCGTTTATAAACAGCAAAATCCCTTCAATAGAAGCTATCCAACTGTTACAGCTATCGTCTACAATTTATATACATATCAAGAACTATATAATCAAAATAATAACATCTTAGACAACGATATAAGTGCTCAAGGTCGTAATATGCATAAAATTATATTGATTTCCGTGTATGCATCGATCCTAGTATGCATTTTAAATTACAAATAATTGCATACTGCAGAAAAATAACATTTATCAAATGATTTCCTTATGAAAATTGCTAGTACTTTGGCCCGTTTTGCTTTATAAATGCAAACCGATATTGTCCCAGTGTCGTAAATCCAATTGGAAAATGCCGTTTATATCTAAAGCTCTGTCCAATTAGCAAGTGTTTTGTTTCTCTTACACTTATGCATGTACTTGCATTTTACAGTACGCTAATTGTGTGAGATTCACAGTGTTCCCTTAACGTATTTACCTTGTAGCGTATCCTTAACAGCGCTACTTCAACAGCATTTATTTAACAGCGTTTGTGAATGTGTGCTTTTTTAACAGCGTTTCTATAAAAGTTACTACCTTAAATAGCGAAACTTGAAGCGAGTTGCTGCTACTGTTTAGGCTGGTTTACTCTATTTCTCTGTCTGTAAAGAGCGCCTCTTAATAAATACTTTTAAAACCGCCACTTAAACTGTCTCTCATTAGCAGCGCCTTTTAGGCAACGAAGCTTAGACAGTGCCTCCTTAAATTTATTTCTTTAACAGCGCGTCTTAATAGCGCCTCTAAAAAGCGACAATAAAATAGAGGCTCTTTAACAGCACCTCTTAACAGCGTCTGTAAGGCGCTTTTGTTAGGAGCGCCTGTTAATATGTGTCTCATTTACTGCGTCTTTTAGACGGTTCCTCTTTAACAGCGCCACTTTAACAGAGCCTTTCACAGGGCCCTTTAACAGCGCCACCTTAGAGCTCCCATAACAGTGCTACCTAAACAGGGCCTACTCAACAGTGTCTGACCAACTGTCCGTGCTTAACAGTGTCACTACAGCACTTTAACAGCCCAACATGTATTTTGGCTTTCAATATCGCTATTTTGACGTCTGCATTCGGACAGCGCAGTTTTAACATGGCATATTTAACATTGCGCCTTTAACAGCGCTTCCTTGACTGTATGCCTTCGCAACTGTAACGCTAACAGCCCAGGTTAACAGTGCCACCTTAACAGCGCTGCTTTAACAGCATGTTTTGGACAGTGTTAAGGGCGCTTCTTAAATCGATCCAATTATCCAATCCATTTAGCCCTCCTTTGTGCCATGAATTCATTCGCAATAGGAAAATCGATCTTTGACCTCGAATCGGTTGAGCCAAATAACATGTGAGACTCTAATACAGATTGATTGACACTTTGGAGATACCTCATCTAAAAGGGTATAGAAAATGTGTTCAATTCAAATAGACACAGGCACACACTGTGGCGCGCGAGCTAGTCGAACGCTAGCATCGAGATTATTGTATCTAGTAGTATTTGTATCTGAATTGCTATCGAAAACAAATGCCCATAAATACTCGATTTGCCTATAATATACGGAAACGTATGCCTCTCAATTCCTGCCAGCCCCTCCCTAACCCCAGTGTCGCACACTCTGAATGGGAACGTTCTTTGTCTTTGATATATTGTTTAGAGTGCTGCTGGCATATGACCTAATCGATTTGCCGCGAAGGCATCTCTATTTGTAATTTGCCCGGGCGATTCATGTTATGGGCTTCTCATTAAATTGGCAGGAAGAACATAACAAGTGCTGAGAAGGCACCTGTGCTTAGGGGAGGGTTCGTCTGGGCATTGACAAATCCCTCGGCTTACTCAACTTGACTAATGAAAGCCAATCGTGAGTGTTGCCTTCTTTCTGGGTTTTGAAACAATTTTCAGGTCAGGGTCAGTTAAGGTCTAGAGCTCGTCAATTACCTTCAACATTTCCTGGGGGCAAGCGAAAGCAAACAAGTTCTTGTCACCTTGTGGCAGGCACATGCTTGAAAATCGATTCGCTGGCCAAATAAACCGACGGCAACCAAAACTCCAAAAACTGTGTGTTAAACGGACCGCAAACGGACCCCCGCGGCCATTTTATTGTTGTTATAGTAAATTGCATTACGCTTGGCATTCTATTCCGCTCGCTTGGCGCACTTTGGCATTTGCCCAAAACCCGAAATCCACTTGTCAAATGCTTAGCAGCAACTCGCACGAATGACGTGCCTTTCAATTTTGCATAACGTCAAGTGCCGGCAGCTTAATCAGCTTTGAAGCATTCTACCTATGGATAAAAGTGCAGCGTTGCCACCTGTGCCAGGCATCTTTACCGATCCGTGGCGAATTATTGCATAGTGCCAGTTAGATGAGGTCTTGGCAGGCAGTTTAACCAGCAATCCAACTGTGCCTTTCGCTCTGGCATAATTCCAATAGCTGTCTCGAGCTTTCTTTCAAGACGTTAACCGATAGTTAAACTGACCAGCGTTGCCACCTTTAGACACTATTGCATTATTTCAGTTATGAGGTCTTAGCAGGTAGTTGCTGCCTCAAGATGTTTATCCTGCTGTTGCCACTTTGCCCGATACGTATATATTACGGCATAGTTCCAATTAGGTCTCCCTTTTTTTACTGTATTATCTATGTCAAGCAGTCTATTTAGTTGTTTAACCGTTTACTGATGATTAAAGCTGCAGAGTTGCCATCTTGACTGGCAGTACACATCTGGCAGCATAATTACACCATTCATTCTTGCACTAATCCAATAGTGCTGTGTTGGCAGTCAAATCTCTCAAAACACATTGTTAAAATTTTGTGCTGCCACCTTATCAGAATTGTAGCTTATGTTTGCATAATTGCTGTAGTTAAATTTCAGCTGGCAGTTAAGTGAGCTGTTGAGCCTTTAACAAATTGCCGTGTCTTAGCAGGCAGTTAATCATGCAGATAAGCACGCGTTGCAGCGTTGCCACCTTGCCAGACAGTTGACATCGGGCAGCAGTAAATTGTGTTTTCACCGGCAGTCGATGTCAAGGCCTTAACATAAATGACACTTTTTCGTGGTAACATTTGTGTTGATTACACTTATGTCAAGGCTCATGTTAAGCCATATGTTAACATAATAGTATAATATGTTAAGTGAATTCCTAACAGAGCTCTCTAGAAAACGCTTACAAAGCGCCAGCCATAGAAATAAGTCAAGTCTGGCAACGTTGATAGTTTTAAAAATATGACCGCATATCAACGGGAAGATAAATCAAACTAGGTTTCAATGGAGCATCAACAATGCTTTTGAAAGTCATAAATAATTTGATATCTGCGCTGTTTAAGGACCTTTTGCATATACATATATATATATATAAATACTTTTTTTTTTCACTGAACTTTCAACTTTTGAGCTGCGGTAATTGTGTGCTACATAAGCCGTGATATATAGCAGATGCTAGATAGCCGATTGAAGAGCAATTTAGCAGCTTTAATTAATGGCTTATTCAACGTGTTTTGCGTCGGCTGCTAGTTGACTGTAAAGCTTTCTGTGCTAATGCGCTGCACCCATTGAACGGGTATCATGGCTTTGGGCATCTGCATGAAGGACCACACACATATATTCCGGATCAGTAGAAAGAGCTGAATCCTTTGATGTTCATCTATGCCTCTCGAAAACTATTGAGGATAGAGACTTGAATTGTATAGTATATAATCCCAAAGATCATACGCACAACGATTTTATCTTTAAATTGTATATCGCCCTAATTTGATTTAATATCGATATATATCGATTATGATAGAAGGTTTCGTCAGCATAACTCTGACCTTAGAAGAGGTAGATATATCACATTTGATTTGTGGATTCTCGTATTATATGCGTAGATTAAAAATATTCCT